CGGCATTCACGAAATAATCGAGGGTCAAGCTGCTCTGAGTGTCGTGCCCGCTCGCATAATTGGTCACCACGCGACAGGGTAATCCTAAAGCGCGACAAACAGTGGCCAACACCCCCGAGAACACCCAACACTGGCCATACTTGACAGGCTTTTTGGTTTTGTAGTATTGCTGCAGAATCTTTTGCGAACCCAGCCACTTGGTCGGTGGCGTACCACCCCCGAATTCGTCGGACCAATTACCCATTACCGCACCGTTGTCATCGGGCGAATTTACCTGTGCCGGATAAGCTCGGATCACGTTTCATCGAAGGAAAACTCTGTACCGGCGGACTCGAGGTATACTCACAGCCGCGGACAGAATGCGAGATACGATGACAGGATCGTTTCTGCTGGAAATTCGCACTTTGCCAACTTCGATCATCAAATGAAGCGCGCAGTCCAGTATATCTCTCTTGAACTGCGAATATTTCCAAACCGTTGGTCTCAAACTGTTGTAGCTTCCTCGCCATATCAATCCATCCTCCGCCATTACGTACTCCTGCCGCTGATCTTCGTCCTCCATGTAGACCGTGTCCTCTAAACAATATCCGAAAATTCTAACGCTCGTGCGAAGGAACGAAACTCGATCGACGTCGATCGACGCGAATCGACGAAACGAGTTTTGCTACCTTTGCACCAGGGGTTGAAGATCACGTAGAAAGAGTGCTTCATGGTGTAACTAACGGCCTGGTTCAAATCCTTGTTCCTGGTGTCGATGTCCATCCTCCATTTACCTATTATAGCGTTGGGGGCTGGGACGATCTGGGAATGGAGAAAAAGTATCGTTGGTGTCACGCTCGAGCGGATGAAAAGGGAATCAAAAGCGGTACGTCGCTTACCTTCAGTCGAATAAAATTCGGATGAATGGCGTCGATGCTGGCTTTCCAGGAGTCTTGCGACTCTTCTCCCGGGTAAAGTACCGCCGTCACAACGAGGGTCTTATGCCCGTATTGCGGCTTCTCCACTCCATCGACCGTGAAAACTATCGACATACCATCGATACTTGGCTCGTAGTCCCTGGACAAAGTCAAGTTCAAGTAAAATTCCTGTCCGCGTCTAACAACCAGCCTAGGTTCGTCGTACTCCCGGGTCATTAAATCGTATCTCGAGGTTCTATGGTTTTCTCCATTCTCCGCGATACACGGGTCCACGTTTAGAATCGTGAGAACCGGCACGCCAAAGTCCTCCCCTGCGAACAAAATGCAAGATTCTTCGTTACCTCTGCTTCCTTCGATTTATAATTCGAAATTTCCGTTACGTAACCACGCTGCTCGTGAATTCGCCAACACCCTGAAACGCTTTACTAAATTTATACAAATGGCAGTCTGCCAACTACCATAGGGACGTAAATCATCGGACTTAAATCATTCCGTAGGGAATAATTGAAAGATTTCCCAGCCTTTTTCTTTGCCCTTTTAACGCGAACGAGAGTCGTTTCGAAGAGACGCACTCGTGGAACGACGTGACGGAAAAGAAGAACGAAGCGTGAACGCGTAGGATAAGCTCGCGAAAATAACAACACTCACAGTAAAACCTGAAGGGGAAAAGTCTGAAACGGTGATCGATGGTGGGCCGGTCGTAATATCTAAATCTATAGGACATCCTTCGAGGATCCGGAAACACGAACTCGTCCCTTGAAAACGAACGAAAGACTGAATCCATCGGCGGGAATCGCGCCATGTTCTTTCTAATCCTGCGAAGTCCGTGAAGTCACTGACGATGAGAGATCGCTCCCCGTTCCGGCGAAAGAGGAAGAGATCACGGTGCGTTCGCGCGGCGCCGTTGCGAGCGTCGGGTGGGTTGCTCGGTTCTAGGAGATCTTTCAAGGACTTTTCTACATCGTTCAACGTAGCCATACATGGCGTCATCGATGGCTCTATAGTCCGTGCGAACAGACGAGATACCGATGTTTACATTAACACCTGAGTAACCGGTTAAGTGATCCGCTTCATCTATTCGTCTATTTTCGTGATCTCCGGCAACGACTTTTGCCGAGTTATCGTGCACTCTTCGCCGGGTCGGAATAAACCGAATTCGCGCTGTTCCACTGTTCCAAAAAAAGTTTCGCGTAATCATTGGGTCCGAGTACCGTGAAGTCGGTCCTGATCTCATCGCGCACGGGTACAGTCGTCTCGTTCGACGGACTATAGGTAACAGTAGGAGCTACCGACTCGTTCATCCTGTCAATAATTTCTCGTAATTTATTCGTAATTGCTGAGCGATTTGTATATTCGATAATCCACCTTGTTCCAGGAACGCGATTGTCAAAGATCGTTAGAGACGCTTTGAAGAAAGAACGACTCCTACGAGGAAAATCGGTCTGAAAACGGGCGACAAGGCCAAATGAAAAGCAAGAGATCGTTGAAAAAATCATTACGCTATTACTGACACATTTTCCAATATCGGGAACGCGTAATTGCTTCATATCCATATATCGCAGGGTTACGCGGACCGATCGGAACGATTAATCATTACCGATTTCTCGGACGTTTTCATCGCGACATAATTCGCAAAATCGACTACTGCTTCGAGCGCGAGCCTTGACAGAGAACCGCGAGTGCGAATCGCGAGAAGTAGGAGAAACGTCAACTCGCTCGCATTGACCATCACCTGTTTTCGTTGTCGCGAATGATTCGTTTGCCTTCGAACGACCGCGATTTCCAGCAGAAATACGCGATCCGTAGAACGAACGTCTAAACACGATTTCATTTCATTCAACAAAAATACGTTACTTTGCGGATAGATTCGAAGCCGTAGAAACACGAAGTGTACACGGAATCAACATTTGCCGACAAATATCCTACATCGAGAATCTCCCTTCCTTTTTCTATTATTTCCTCATTCTTATCTCCTTCTGCAAATTCTCCTTCTTTCCCTTAATATCTTACCGATTTCGAATTCTTCGATTTCTTACACGCTCCTTACCATCCTCGGCTTTCTCAAATTTCCGTTTCAAAAATTTTCGTCCTCAATCGGATAGACGTTAGTTCGTGAAAATTATCTGCTCTCTTCGCCTCGATCCCCCCACTACCCGTGCTTCTTTTCTCTCGTTTTCTCGTAATTTTCCGTTACACCTAGGTGCTTACCACCGGTGCGACGGGTTTAAATCCGAGGACAATTCGACCGAGAGAAGCAAAAGGAACGGGAATGAATTTATCGATCCAAGTACTTTCGTTCAATCTTCGGGATCACTGGCGATCGGGAAGCTCGATAACCGAAGATTTCTCGTCGCGGTATCCACCCCCTGATATAATAATCTATTAACGCTGTCGTACGTAATATCCCACTGGATCAATTAGCAGTAAATATCGATTAATCTCGTAATATGTAATATGCCAGCAGCCGGACAACCAATCGCGTAATAAATATCGTGTCAAACGATCAAATTACGCAAAGTACCTTCATATAGTACAGCCGTCATTCGATTACTTCAACCGGTTTCGTACGAAACCGATGCTATTTTGAGTCGGTAAGCGGCGAGAAGTTATGGCATCGGCATACCTAATAGTATTGTTTTCGATTGAAAATAACGGCACGTGCCAGTCGGCTGTGTATACAGGCACACGCGAGTGTTCTAGGATGCAGATTATCCGTAGAAACCGATGACGCGCGATGTCGTGCGTTTAGCATAATGTTAGAATCAAAACAATCGCAGCCTGTTTCCCTTTCCATTCGCGACGCCGGCGTTTCGAGCTCGGCCGTCTCGAATTTCCATAATTTCGATTAAAGTTGATTCGATTGCCACGAACGCGCGAACGCGGTTCGCTTTTGTCGCGATGAGGAAACGCGGACGGGAAGCGGAGAGGAAAGTGGCGTTTGCCAGAGCACGGCTGCCGAAAATCACCGAAAATGATCGAAAATTACCGAAAATCACGGCAAATAATTAACCCGACAGCTACTGCGAGCGATTGTAACACAGCGCCATAGCTACGGGGACTAATGGCGCCTGTTCTTCTGCTGCCTTTATTCCGCGGCGCGCGAAAAAATCCCACGTGACAGTGGTCGCATAAAATTAACATACCTGTTGATGCGTGGCATTC